TAGCATATTTTTAATCCTGATGTTGGTTGTGCTGAAACATAATTTTATCACATGCATTTCACTCTTTTTCATGAATAATGTACATGGATTACTCTCTGAGCTAGGTTAGGCTGAGAGACGACAATTCTTTTTATGGTATTCAGCGAATTCATGATACAGGAAGGATTTAAATTGAGGTTTTAGTCATTTCAAAATCTACCACTCTGTCCACAGCTTTTCAAATTGCAGTGATGTATATATTCAGCAAAGCTCACACGGAATGGAATTCTTGTTTCATTTGCTCTGACAGGCCATCACAAAGATTTGAACAAGACACACTCAAATCCAATTTAATGGCATAACGTATTCACAAACTTACAGCTAATATGTGAAAATGGAGTATCATGGAAGCCCTCTAGAGTGGAGCCCTGCTGTAGTAGCCAAGTAATGGAATAATCAGGAATACCAGTGAAGATAGCTGGAGAATCTAATTTGAATTTTTGGATAAAAAGTTAGGTACATAAACCTTGCAGTCTCTCACAAAAGCACTACTTAAGGAAAGAGGTCAGCGAGAATCAGAAGGGGGAAAAAACTAGTGATTAAGAACTGCCAAGGATAAAGCCCTGCAATTACACAAATAAAAGGTTTTTAGAAAATGAGAGGCAACAAGGATAGCAAAGAAAACTCAGTGTCTTAATTTGTTCCTGACTTTTAGATTGCTAGAAAACAAATGTTAAGCCTCTAACATCCTATTTACAACACTGCTTCTCTGTACCTCTAACTTAAAGATAAGTACTACTTGCTTTTTAAAAAAGGCACTTTATTTAATGGGATAGGGCTTGCTACAAAGAAAAATGCAAGGTCCCTAGCACTAGTTCAGTTTATTTATAATAATTCGTTGGAGCCCCAGAGAAAATAAAAAATGAGTGGCAGAGCAATTGATTACCTTTTTTTTTTTTTTGCACTTGACGGTTAAAAATAGATGCATTAAATCTCTGCAAGTTTTAGCACATCTATTTTTAACCACTGAGCCAACCTCCCCTTGAAAAATCCCCCCCCAAAAAAATTTTAAAATGTTTGATTTTCCTTGCTCTGTGACAGTCTCATGCCACAAGACATGTCTCCTGCAACCCTTGAAGAATTAGAAAAAAGTAGTGGAAAAAAGGGCCAGCCTTCTTGTAAAAGATCTGCCCTCCCACCCCAGCCTGATGTAAGGAAGCTTAGGAATTTCATCTTAACATCTAACAGAGAGCTTGCTTGCAAAAGCATGCTTGCCCACCCATCTATCAGTTTTTTGCAGAAACATAAGAAACAGCAAAATAGTGAAGACATTCATTCAACAGTCAGAGTTCAAAATAATGTATACTTCTACTACACAGTGAACACTTATTGATATTAATAAGGCAAAAATATACAAGACACCAAAGAAGTTAACAAAAGAATCCCAAAGCACACTTTAGTCAAGAGATTTTATTTGAAATTTGGTGCTGCTAAATCCTGCACAAGCCCAGAGGAGCATAAAGAATATTAACATTATTCAATAAATATCATGGTGGGCAGTCTGATGGGCTAATCATAATCTGTCACAGAGATATCAAAACAGACAAAATTGTGCAAATAATAGTCTTTCTTTCATAAACAGCTGACTAGGCTCTTTAATCTAGGGACTGCCTTGCAAACCAAGAAACTCTTGCCTGCATAACACCAACCAGGATTCAGAAGACACTTTGAGATGGAGCACTAGGAGTAAATATTGATATAGTAAGTGGTTGGAGGAGACGGGAAGATACTGTAGGAAGTTGTGGCCTGGCTGTTGCAGGGAAGGGATGCAGGCCACTGGCTGGCCTCCATTCCTTTCAGGCGGCAATCTAAACAAGGAAGTCAACAGTAAACACAGTTTGCTACATGGTTCATCCAGTTTACTCTATTCATAAAATCTGGCTGGTAATTTGGGCATGTGTCTACTTAAGAAGAAAGTCTTATAGGAACTATTTGTGATATTTCATCGGTTTTTGGGGGGGGAAACCTATTTGATTTTTCAAGACCTCCCAGTTTAGATCTACTCTTAACTTTGTTGAGATCTACAGAATCTTTGTTTGAGATCTTAAGATTCTATCTGAGTGAGCACTTGTAACTGTTCATTAAAGCTAAATAAATGTAAATTTAATTAAATTAGTTTTATCAAAGCCCTAGAGAGCACCTATCAAAGTCTCCAAATGAATTGTGGTCTGTCATGAATAAACATTTTCCTCAAATTAAAACTGGAAACTAACATGTATGAAAACCTACTATGAAAGTATTAGCAGTACTAATTTAAGCCCGCCAGCTATACCAAAACACATGTAATATTGATGATGAATCCACATGATCACAGAGGCCTGCAAAAAGGCAATTTGATAGCCCCCCCCCCTAAAAAAATAGTGGAGATTTCAAGAAACTGACCTTATGACAGTGGCATAAGGTACTGGGATCTTCATGTAAAAATCTAAAGATTTGTGATCTAATGTTTTGGCAACTCTTGGTATGTAACACAACATAGAAATAACAGAGCACATTTCTGTAGTAACAGAACAGAAGGCTTAGCCACCTGTGAGTATAATTACAAATAGATATTATAAAACTTCCAAAAAGAGCATGGTTTTCCTGGGCCTACAAGAGTAAATAGTTGAGCTATTATGAGCAATCAAGAAGATTATTTAGAAAGAAGACAAGTGAACACAAGATTGACTTTTCCACTTAAAGTTAAGCAATTTAAGTGGAAAAGTCTGAAGGTCATCCTTATGTTTACATGCAAATATGAACTCCTTATCATCTAGAACTGTTTAGGTGAATGCATATAGAAGTCTCCTGAAGCTGGGAGGTAACTCTATTGTTGGCCCTTTTGCTCATATTCTTCTACTATTCAGACATACAGCCCAGTATAAGAAGGAAATAAGAATCAAGGCACTTACTAATGTCCCACATTATACACGTGAAGTCCTTGGGGTTCTCTGAGCTTGGTTGTTTTCTTGCAAACGTTTCGTTACCCAGCTACATAACATCTTCAGTGCTAGAATGGAATGGGGTTCTCTGTTAATATACTGTGGCATGCCCTGCCAATGTTGGTGGGGGTCTGGGTTTTGTTTTATTTTTTCGCTCTGGTAGTCCCTTGATTAGGGTATTGTTTACTGCTTGATTGTATGTCTGGTGGTAATCTTGGTGTTAATCTCTGCTTATCTGGGTGATGATTGCTGGGGGAGGGATTGTTTCCTCTTTTTAAAGGGACCGAAAACTCCCCTCCCACAAACAATAACCACCAAAAAACAAAGTTATACCAAA